CATCCTCTCTGGGGGGTTAATTCCTCGCTTTCTGTCTCTGCCTCTCTCTGTCTTTCTGGCCAGTGCACGCGCCCGATAGCAAAAACCTCTCCAATAATAATAATAATAATTACCAAAACAACTTATGAATTAGTAGTGGCTTATAAAAAATACCTATGAAGTATTCAGCTACTGCATCTAGTTTTAATGTTAGCTGATTCTGGGTATAGATGGTCCTTTGGTGCTTACCATATAGTAAATACATTTAAACAACCCTCCAAGGTAGTTTTTGCATTCCTGTTTTACAGACAAGGCCAACAGAAGTGACTGACCAACTTTCCTGGGGTCAGAGTTGCCAGGGCTTAGACCAGGATTTGGGCAGGGGTGTTCCTTCACCACGCCGCCTCCTGGAGCCAGCTTTACTGTCCTAAGTCTCCATAGGACTGAAAAGGGAAGCCTTCTTTGACTCCCCCACTTCAGTGATAAACTAAAGCACCTCCCCACCCAAGATGAAAATGGCCTTGGGGTCTAGAGGTGCACCCCTGCCCAGACCCTGCATTTTGTAATTTTTTTTTTTTTGGGGGTGAGGTTTTTCCTATAGGGCGCTTGCACTCGCCAGAAAGAGAGAGACAGAAAGGGGGGACGGCTTGGCTGCAATCCCTTCTCCTCCATTCTCCTCTCGGGATCTTGGGTATGCACGGATCTTGGGCACGCACGGATCTTGGGCACGTACAGATCTTGGGCACACACGCACACGCACCCAGCGTGAGTTTAACCGGGTCTGGGACTCAACCGAGGTCGGCTACATAGGAGTCTAGTAACATAGCCATTACACTAACTGCTGATCCCAGCATTTTGTAATTTTAAACTCCATGAAGGTGCATGAGGAAGTTTGGTGACCCAAACGAAGTAGCAGGGCCCCGCAGCCTGCGGGGTAAGCGCGCGGCCCAGCACTCCCGGCCTGACACCTCGCGAGTAATAAATTCTCAGACCAAAAGGCTCCGAAAGAACGCCCTGGGGACACTGAAACTCGTCCGGTACCATTCCTCCGCAGTGCAATGCGGCAAGACAGCCCGGCTTGCTGCCCCCGTTCTGCAGACAGGAAACTGAGGTCGCGGCGGGCAGGGACCTGGCGGGGCCAGGTCCG